CCCATTTTTTTTTTTCTGCTTCTACAGCTGGCCATACACCTTATCTGCAGATTTTCTGTGGTCAGATGGAAAACGTGCAACAGATTCCTCCATCTACACTTAACTGTGTGGATGGAGTAATCTCCACCTGGGCCAATCTGTTGCACTTTTTCCATCTGACCACAGAAAATCTGCAGATAATTGTAAGGTGTATGGGCACCTTAACACATCAACTTCAGGGACTAAATGCTCACTTGCCCCACATATCCCACCCACTTCCAGGCGCCATTGTAATGAGATAATCATTGTTATTCACTTCACCTGTCAGTGGTCATAATTTTATGGCTGATCGGTGTAAATCCCTAGAAGGGACAGTCATAATTTTATGGCTGATCGGTGTAAATCCCTAGAAGGGACAGGCAGATCGTACTTGCGATCATTGCAAGCCCGCCCCCCTGAGGGGCGGGCTTCCGATGACTGCAATGCTGAACGGGCAGTGTGCACACACCGGCCCGTTTGGCAGTTATCTCTCGATCATGCTAAAAACCAGCCGAAAATTGCACGATTCTCGGCTGGTTTTCCAACATGCTCAAAATACAAAAGCTTTCCATACACTGCATGATTATCGGACAATCGCACGATTTCCCGCGATTCTCGTACGAGAAATGTGCAGTGTATGGGCACCTTAACTCTGGTTGCGCATGCGAAATTGATGTTTTTTGACTTTTATGAGGCCTTCTCCCAGCGCACGAGATGCTTGGAAGACAACCCAATGAAAGTCTATGGACAGCATTAAGTGTGCACGCATGGCCAGGGGACGGGGATTTTGGTTGTAGGGTTTGAAAATTGCTACAGGCTATGGCCCATCCAATATAGTTAAGTATGCTTGGGGGGCGGGGGTTCCTCTTTCGGTCGAGGAGCAGGGCAAAATGCATACCAATTTCTCTACAGAAGATGGCGCAGACGCATTATATAATAATAGACCGCTTACAATAATTTGGGCAATACTTGTCAAGTCTGTAAAAAGCAGGAGGGGGATTCTTGCATTCTTGTACCTGCATAAAGATGTCTGATGCCTGAGGTCAGGAGCATGCATAGAGCCAAATGGTTGTGTACTGGAGCAGCTTGCAAAGCCTTGGATTTGTTTTGCCACGCTAAAATAAGGGATTATGGGATGTATTTTCTCTGCGTAGGGGGGGCAGAAGGGCGTTAACAGGACTAGCATGGCAAATGTAAAGCAGAACTCCGGGCAAATCAAATATTTAACACTTGCAGTGGGTCTACCCCCATACTGCAAGAGTTATGTGCTCGTTTTGCCTAGGCAGCTAAAATAACAAAGTTATAATCACCTGATCCGCGATCCCGGCTTGCTCTAAGACCGCTCCCTTCAGGCTTGCTTCCCCGTCCGCTCAAGCAGTCGAAGGTCCTGTGAGTCATCACGTCCAATACAGTCATTGGGATTTATCACAACTGGAGCAGACAAAATCTGGAGCAGATCTGCACTGCAGAGATCAGCATCTTTCTCTCATTTTCAAATCTTACCTGAGCAAACAGTAGAGAGATGCTGATTGGTTGCCATAGGCAACTGCTCTAGATTCTCTTTGCTCCAGTTTGATCAATTCCCCTCAGTGTATATTGGATGTGAGGACACAAAGAGTCATACCATCGCTAGAGTGAAGGAGGAGAGAGGCTGGAGGGAGCCATCTTAGAACAAGCCAGGATCGCGGTTCTGGTGAGTATAGCTTTATTGCAGTGAACTCTTGCAGTGCCAGGGTAGCCCCACGCTATCACTAGCCAGAAGACACTGGATTAGATCTGCCTGGAGTTCAGCTTTGACTATTAGGACCCGCTCCCACTGCGAGATTTGCCGCGCAATATCTCGTTCAAGCTTGCATCGCGGCTAAATCCGCTCCAAAAAGGGTCCTGCTGTAGCGACACACGACCCGCGACAGCAGGACCCTTTGCCCCATTGAAATGCATTGGAGCGCGATATCGCTCGGTAATTTGCCGCGATATCGCGGGAATTACCACGCGATAAATCGCTCAATGTGAACGGGGCTTTAGAGATTAAGACTGCTGCACCTTTGGTACCAGTTGTCCTTTATAGACTCTCCCCATTCCCCTGAGTGCAACCCATCTGGTGAAATACTTCGATCCAGCAATCTTTAGAAACCATCTCCACTGGGTTGTCTTCATCTTACACATGCTCACAATGGTCCTATTCATTCCTATGGGAGCCCCACTCGGCAGTATCTCTGATAGATACAATAAGGGAAAGAATGAAACTTCTAGTCGCATACACAGGATGAAGAGAAACCAATTTGGGGATGCTGTCTAAAGAAGTTTCTTCAGTGGCCATTAGTCACCTGACTTGAACCCCATAGAAAATCTCTGTTGGGATTTGACGAAGCCGGTTGCAGCACGCAAGCCAAAGAATATTCGGGAACCGAAGGCCTTTGCTTATGTGGAATAGGCTAAGATTCCTCAGGAACGCTGCCAGAAGCTGTCTGGCGATGTATCTTGTTTGCAGCAGGTCATAACAGCAAAAGGATGCTCCGCTATGTACTAAAGATGATTGCCTTGAAGGGGTTGAACAATTTTAAGATTGCAGAATTCATTAAAAGTTGCACTTTCAGTTGAATTTGGGGAAACCACTTTAAATATTCGTTGTGTTGACTAATTTCAATTGCTTTTGTTTGATTTGTTCATTGCAAACAACTGAAAGTTTGTACATTTTGCCAATGAACCTGATTAGTAATGGAGGTTGAATCATTTTGATTACAACAGTAGGTAAATATTCCTCCAATCGGGCTGTATTCGGGGGAATGGGGGGCACGTACCTAAGATGCAGTTGTCCTTTAGGCCGCACGTTAAAGGCAGAGTTTTTAGCTCTAGGGCTGGAGTCTGCTAGGTGGCCGCGGTTGCCTTGTGGTTGTGTTTTTTGTTGTTGTTGTTTTTTCCCCCTAACCCAAAGTATTTTTAAACGCTCAAACTTTTTTCAATAATGAATCCAGATCAACAAATATACATTGCTCAGCAAAGAATTGCTTTCCGTTTTTGTCCAAACACTTAGGCCTTGTTCACACCAAGCGCAGAGCAGTTGCAGACCGGATCAAAACTGCGTCCAATGTATTCCAATGGTATTTTTTTGCTCCAGTTCACATCGCAGCGTGCAGTTCCAGAGCAGGTGAAAAAACTGCAGCAAGCCCTATTTTACCTGCTCTGGAAAGCATGCAAACGCATCAAAAACGCATGCAAATGCCTGGAACGCACTGAAGGCCCTAGTTGAACTAAAAAAAGGCCCGGAACGCATCAAAAACCTGCAAAAACTTGGCACAACCCACTGCATTGCGTGTGCAGAAACCTAAGCGGATCTGCTCTGCATTTGGTGTGAACAAGCCCTTACAATCATGTTTCTGAACAGCTGCTTCTAAGTCTCATTACAGCTTCCTTAAAGGAGAACTATGAGATGAGTGATTTCCACTCACCTCATAGTTCTAAGCCGACCTGTGACAATGAGACTGTCACAGGTCGGCTCAGTAGATCGGGAGGTGAGGGAAAACATACCAGGTTCCCTCACCTCTCGATCCTGTCACGGCTCTCTGCCGTGACAGGGGGAGGGGCTGGATTCCCCTCTCCCCGCTCCGATCTGCCAGCGCTGACTGGCGGAACGGACGGGGGAGGGTACAGCTGGCTCTGCCTCTAGATAGGCAGAGCCAGCTGTCACTCACGCAGCTGGGCGGATCCCGTCATCTAAGTCGGGATCCGCTCCAGGTGCGGCGTCTCAGTATACAGCTCGGGGTATACTGAGCTTAGGGTGACGGGAGGACGCTAGTATATGTCCTCCCGTTACCCCAAGGAGAACTATGGGGAAAAACACTGACCCCATAGTTCTCCTTTAAACTTCCCGTCCAGTACAAGCTCACAAAGAGCAGAGCCGAGTAACTGTTCATCTACTAGCGTGAAGGTGAGAGGGGCAAAGGTGAGGGGAGTAGCTTCATTTGCGGTGTCTTTGTGTTTGTGGAGACTAGCACAGCTTACTAGCACACACGGGTGACTGCACAGCACTCTGCTTGAGAAAGGAGTCACTCTAAAACAGGATATCAGGACCAGTGCTCAGGGGACCAGCTGATTCTGCAGGAAACTAAAACTTTTAAACACCAGGAAGCAGCATCCGGTGTAAGTGATTTCAGCAGCATTTGAACTCGCTTTAAGTCCTTTTGACTTTATCACTTTAACTACAAAGTGCAGACTCCATTAATTCCTCCACACAACGGTGCTTTTACATTGCAGTGTGGTGACCTCTGGTGGCATGCAGTGAACTGGAAAACAAAATGCTGCATGTCCGCATTTTACCGCAGCCCCACCGCACATCAACACTGCATTGTAGTGTGAACAGAGTACATAGAAAACATATGCCCTTGCGGTGACTGGTGCGGGGAAATGCCAGCCACCCCAGATAGTGTGAACGAGCCCTTAAGCTATATAAAGTCAGAATGCCAGTAATATAATTACACCTCTCACAGAGCTCCACCTAGTGTCCCAAAAGGAGCATTTTCTGTCAGGTCCCTGCGTGGCGTTCTCTCTTTGAACTCATCCCTTTGTCACAGATATGTGGCTAGGATACCTAATAACATAACTACAAGTTCATAAGCCCTGAGGTCTCCAGTGACCTGTGGGAGAGCTTGCAAGCGTTGTCACTTTGGGAGCGTTTTTCTCTTTGCAGAGCTGCAAGAAAGTTCTACATTCTAGTCTTGCCTCCTTGGGATTCGGCCGAAGGCAGGTAACATTATTTGGCAATCATCATTTTTGGTAAGAAAGCCACTTCAATACTAGCCAGATAAATGCAGTACAAGCAAAGCTGAAATCAGCCCGCAGCAAGAAAAGTGTTCTAGAGGAACCAGCAGCAGCCGTGGTGGTTTTGTGCACACAGACAAACAGGAAGTACGAGACGCTTTTTGCTCTGCAGGTTTTTTTTGTTTTTTTTTCCACCCCTCGTCTTAAGTTATTTGAGCTGCTTGGAGCCACTTTCCCAAGAAGCGCCTGTATGTATGGCATCGTACAACGAAAGCCTTCAGGCCGCCAGCACCTCGACAGCCCTGCAGAAACTAGAGGGCTTTGCCAACAGATTGTTTCATCGAAATGGCAAAAACGGCGCACAAGAACAGAGGGGGGCCGTGGAACAAGAGGGCCAGCTAGTTTCTGAAAGCACCTTGCAATGGGACACGGCAAGTAAGTTTCCTGTACAGCCGGAGCTGTGTGTGACTGAGCACGTTGCTGCTCTTCAACTTTTTGGTGGCATCTATTAGGGGGGGGGGAAAAGGCATTTTCTTATTTTAAGCCTTTTTAAAATGTATTTTAATGTTGATCTGAATTGACTGAGGGGGTCATGTAGTAGTAGTAGTAGTAGTAGTAGTAGTAGTAGTAGTAGTATACAGGACTTGAAAGCACCAACAGTTTTGCGCTTTACAATGTAAGGAGAACATTTACAAGACAAGATGCATAACTGTGTGTTAAGCACAATCTGTTTTTAACACATTACTAGCAAAAATGTTGTATTTTGGTAAGGGTATGGGGTTAATACATGTATCTAGGGATATAGCGATACTAGTATCTGTGCCGATATCGAGTATTTGGCCGAGTACTCGTCCAAATGCTCTGATACCGGAACTTCTGGTCAGATAAAGATTTCCCTCTGACTGGCAGTGCAGAAGGAACATGGAGCCAGCTTCCTTTGCAATCATGAAGCGGGTGTTGGGTTATGACCCGCTTCCTTATTGGTCATAAAGCCAGGCTGCCTAAGAACAAATGAAGCCGGCTTCCTAGCCAATCAGCGAGCTGGGTCATGACTTCCCGCCCGGCTTCCTGATTGGTCAGGAAGCCAGGCTGCCTAGGAACAAGTTAAGCCAGCTTCCTAGTCAACAGGGATCCGGGCCATGACGTGCTGCCAGATTAATTTGTTGCTAGGCAGCCTGGCTTCCTGACCAGTCAGGAAGCCGGACGGCACCTCATGACCCGCCGCCCAGCTTCCTGATCGGTCAGGAAGCCAGTCAGCCTCAGCAAGTGAAGCCGTTGTTCTTTCGATAGAACACCGGCTTCCCTGGCAATCAGGAAGCCGGGCGATGGGTCATGATCCGCTGCCCAACTTCCTGATAATCAATTGCGGTGAACAGCAGTGGATGCAGAACCCCTGCGGAAGGGTGGCCATTCACAACCAGATCTTTTATTGAAATGAGTGCCGGAAGATCATCTAAGAGTTTGTGTAGCTCCAGAACTCAACACAACTATTGCTCCGTTTTGGCTATTCAAATGTGAGACAGAGAGAACTTCCCTTTTCTGGTAAGAAAAGGAACTGATCACTGAGCAACCCGTGAGGGACTTATCCCATTCTTTCACCACTCGCCTTTATTTATGTAATAGTAGGGCTCCTTTGCCAAACTGCATCCACAGGTTCTCCTCCTGTTTCCAGGGCTGCACACATGTTTGTCAGTTAGCCTCCCCCATCCAAGAGCGCTGTTTATGTCCTTTTTGCCTTAATTGTAGGGCTCAAATACTTCACATTCCAGGAGAAATTTCTTCTCCAGGCTCCTTCCAGTGCTGCTCACAGGTCTAAAACCCCAGGCATTTGCACAATGTGTGCCGAAGAGGAGAATACGAATTAACATTGGCTGATCCTTTTTATTAGAGACCATGTGACCATATGCCTAGGCTTTTGGCTCTATGATCAGTGCTGAAGGGAGCCTGCAGAAGAATTTACATGCAAATGCGTATCCCTTAAAGTGAGTTGAGATTTGTCCTTGCTGACCTGTTAAGAAAAAAAAAAAGACAACACAAACGCATCTAAACACCGTCCTTTTTTTAAAATGTGTTTTACTGTGCAGTTTTGGTGTGAATGGGCCCTAAGGCCCCATTCACACTAAGCGACATACCATTAGAAGCGGATCCGCGCGGCCGGGATAGCGTGACTGTTCGGTGCGACGTTCGATGGTAGCGTGACCTTCACCGTCGGGCTGCATTAAAAAAAATAGAAAAATTGCGTGACATCCGCCGAAAAAGGGTCCTGCAGGCGCGACTTGCGACGGGGCACATGGAGCTGTACATTAAGACAGCTCCATTGAAAATCATTGGCCGGCGATATCATCTTACATTCATTAGTTAAACATATTCTTCTTTTACTTACAATGATTGTTTTTCCTGTTCCTGGTCCTCTTGGGCATTAGTAATGTAATGTGCCCAAGCCTTGCTTCCTGGTAAGGTTGCTGGGAAATCTCATCTGTAATCTTACAAGATCTCAGGGAAAGGCATTTTCCTCCCTTGAGATGATGTGCATGGTCACATGTCCTAGTCACATGTGCCAGAGCTCCAGGAAGTAAAGGGAGATATAGTAATCTCCCCTTAGTAAAAATGGCCACTGTGAGAAGAATGGAGAGGAAAAAAGAAATAAGGAATGCAAAGAATAAAAATCCAGCAATTATCTAGAAGTATGCGTGTGTCATTACTAAAATATTTATAAAGGTGCCTTTTGTTGTCCTTCCAAAGATATATGTGTAAAGGTCCCCTTTTAAATTGGTGGGTTTAGTTCCACTTGTGCAACACCCAACAAATATGCTGTAATTAAGGTCTGTTTAAAGTGAAACCCCGAATTCAGGAATACCTTTCAGTTTATCTAAGGCCAAAACATATTTTTTTTAGGTTTGGATTGCGTTTCAAAGGGTTACAACCACTGTCAGGTGTTTTTTGCTGTCTCCCTACTCTATTTGTCCTGGGGACCATTGTGGTCATGGCAAAGCGTGAAGGGAGATCGGGAGATCTAACATTTTACAGTTGTCACCAGAGCAAGACATAACCGAAATAAAGAGGAGCACCACAACAGAATTGTAGTAATTGTCATCAAGGGAAGATCCTCGAAGTGGGTAGATGGTGGCAGAGTTTTTCAGTGGTCGTCTTTTGCAGGGCTGGGTGAGCAGTGGATTGACTTTACATGTCCCAGTTCCACTTAAGGCCCCGTTCACATTGAGCGATTTATCGCGCGGTAATTCCCGCGATATCGCGGCTATTTACCGTGCGATATCGCTCTTCAATGCATTGCAATGGGGCAAAGGTTCCCGCTGTTGCGGGTCGTGTGTCGCTACAGCCGGACCCTTTTTTGGAGCGGATTTTGCCGCGATTCTTGCTTGCTCAATGCAAGCATTTGCGTGATATCGCGCAAAATGCAAATCGCACGACAAACGCGCGATTTGCGAATCGCGCAGTGTGAATGAGGCCTTAAGCAGCAGCAGCAGCCCTACCCGGGGATATATGAGATGGAGCTGGCTGTGTCAATCTTGGGTAAATGTCATTTTGGACATGCAGAACTTGCTGGTGGGGGGTTTTGGTAGGGGTGATGTAACAGAACTTGCTGGTGGGGGGTTTTGGTAGGGGTGATGTAAAAGATGTAAGAATCCTGCATTAACGAGAGGCGGCAACAAGTAAGAGTGTAATGAGAAGGCCGGATCACCAGTTACTATGGGGACCATCAGCTTCCCTCCCCGGGTCGCATTTTTACCTCCCAATCCTGTGTGCGTCAGCTGTTCTGCGCATCTTTTGACAGCCGCCGTGTCCCACATAGTGGCTGCGATGTACTGTGTAGGCTTCAGGCACAAAGCACTTGACAAACACGGCTTTGTCCCCGGTATTAACGCATAGCGGGATCTGCGTCAGCCAGCACCGCACAGAAGGCTTCCATGATGTTTACAAACTTCAAACGTATTGTTGCAATTAAGGAAAATAAAAGAGCAAGTGGAAGGTTTAAACGCTGCTTGTTAAAGAGAAACTCCAAGCAGCAAGTGCAATCATCCGCGGAGCAGCTAACGTCAGCTGAGAAACCTTACACTGCAGAAGCCCACACAGTTTAAAGAGGAACGCCGGGCATTGTTATTCCTAACCCTCGTACGGCGGCTACTGCTGCACTGCAAGGGTTAACTGCTCATTTTCATCTAGGGACAGGAATCGGTTATACTCCCCTGAACCTCACCACCCGCTGGCTGTTAGACCGGTCCTTTCAGCCTCTCTTCCCCTCCACTCCAGTGGTGTAAGGTCCTGCGAGTCATCGCGTTATTTACATTGTATAGGACATAAGGACGCAGAAGGACATTATATCGCTGGAGTGGAGGATGAGACAGGCGGCAGGGGCCTGTCTAGTAGCCAGCCAGCTCAAGTTCAGGCGAGTATAACTAACTTTTTTTTATTTCCGTCCCTAGATGAAAATGAGCTCTTAACCCTTGCAGTGCAGGGCTAGCCCCACTGTGTGGGTTTAGAATTATGCCCGGAGTTATTTTTTTAACTTAAAGTGGACCTGTACGTACCTTGCATACCAGGGCAAAGCAACAGGTTCGCTCAGCTGCATACTTCCCAGCCGGAGTAACGTTAAACAAGGCCTCATATAAGCTCCAAATGCGTCTGGTCTCTAACCACCTCCATCCCCTGTGACAGCACTGGAACCAGCAAGTTGGCTGTTCGGGCAGATTAGGTTGCAGCGTGGGAGGAAGGTGGGAGTTGCATGCTCCCAGTAAGGAGAAATGGAAGCAACTCCAGCAAACAGGTAGATTAGTTCAGGGAACTATGGACGTTGGTTGGGAACATTTGTGGTGCCCACCTATCATGCCTTACAATCCAACTGCTGGCTAACTCCTAAGACCTGGTTCACACCTAGGCGATTTATGGCGCGGATTCAGTCACGCACAAAACACAAAAACCCCATACAAGTTAATGGCGACACCTTAGCGCTGCGTCACGCAAAAAGATGCAGCTACTTTCAGGCGGATGCCGCTTGGTTTTGGTCCCATAGACATCCCTATGCATTGAGAACCACACGGTTTTTGCAATCGCCTAGATGTGAACCAGGCCGAAGACTAAACCTCCACCCCACCTGCCCTTCCTCGTTTAATATGCATACCTATTTCCATAGGTCTTTAGTCTGGTCATGTGATGTCATGGGTCTCAAGCGCCATTCTTTTGTGCAAACTGCCGGTTAGCAGCGAAGGATGATCCTACTTGGACCAAGAGCAGAAAATCTAATCCACATCTTCTCTGGGGTCTTCGTTCTTTTAGATTGTAAGCCCTCAGGGGCTGGGCCCCCTTTACCATCTTGTCTTGAATTGTATTGTGATTGTAATGTCTTCCTTATATTGTAAAGCGCTGCGCAAACTGTTGGCGCCATATAAATCCTGTATAATAGTAATGGATGTTCCTGC